AAAACATTAAAAATAAATTTATTGAAGATATTCAACAGTTCCAAATCCAAGATAACATATACCCTTCTTTTTTCTTGACACATAGATGCAATCTAACCATTGCTGCAAGCAACCAAAATGACACTTGTATACATTATCTAATTCTCTTAACAGTTTAAATCATATAAGCGTAAGAGAACTCAACTGCCTTTACATTTTTACCTGACCTTCAACTAACTATGGAGAACAAATGGCCTAATGGTTGCTGTGATTTGGAACTACTGGTGGTGGAGTCATCCGGAAAACATGCTTTCTGCAGCGCTCAAAAATGCTATCATACAAAAGATCAAACTGAACTCCTGCTCTCTCCCGATTTATAATAAAAAATATGTGATCAGCTTCGATAACTTTGTAATACCTGCAAAAATAAGTTCACATATGATGTAGGCTTAATTAGGATGGACAAAAACGACTTTCATTAATGTTCGAGTGACTGTTGAAAGGACTGATATTACAGTCATCGAAATAATATTCAAGCCATAATTTCTTATTTTGTTTTCAATTTTCATTTCAAATTTGGATTTCTATCCATGAAATTCTAACCCACCGATGATGATTTCAAAGAACACTGACAAAAGATGACAAATAATGTAATAGATGCGAAGCCAAAGCGGTCACATTCCTCCAGTTCAGATGAAAGCATTTTGAACTGGCTCCCAAATTTGGTTGCTTGGAGTTAGAAAACAAACTTTAAGACAATATGAAATCTGATAGATCCATTTTTTTTAGTTGGATATGATTTGAAATCAACCTTAAGCTTCAAAAACCTTCTCAAAATCACCACAAATAAAAATAATTTCACTATCACACAAAAAAGAGTGAAAATAAATCATCATTTCCTTCCACACATTAGATGTAACAGCATAAAAAAGGAAGCACTTGACAATTTCTTACAATGGAAAACACATTTAGATTCATGAGAAGAAGGAAAATCAATGTAGATGCTCATAGAAATCCAATAAGTACATTATACTAGAAGGTGGACGAAAAGGCAAGGAGACATATAGCAAGAACTGCAACAAGAATTTTTTAGCTGAGAGCAACTAACTATAAATTTTCAAGCTAAAGTGCATCAAGTCATGATCATTATAATGATGGATAATGCATAGAGAATGGTCACTAACCATATCCCGGGCTGCAAAGGATGACACTTTGAATCATCAATTACAAATTGGCTAAGGTGTTCGACTGGTAATCGAGGATGGGTCATTGATATAGTGTTGAGTGCTCCATCATTATCTTCCCAGTCCTCATCTCTGATTCCAATTTTCCATATGAAATAGATTAACCAGTAGTAGCTAAAATAAGAAATTTCATCACATAAATTTGCCTCATAAAACTCTTATCTTCAAAAATCATCCCACCTGTAACCTTTGTAAGGCGGTGGTGCATCTTTAGGATGACGCCATTGGCACATCTGCAAGACTCTAACAAAGAGCAATGGATGAATTCCAAACAAACTTGAGGGCACAGTTATTCCCATAATCTTCCTTGTTCTCCTCGTCGCATAGCTGAAATAGTAAGTATTTGGAAAAGTTTGCAGACTTGCATTTGAAATCATTGCTCCCTGAATAGTAAGATCAGGCAGAATCCAATCTCCTGAAGCAAATGGCCCAGAATTCCCCAATAGTAGATCAATGAGGCCGAATAAACCGGCTTTCTTCCATGCCATTTCGAAGTGATCAAACCCAAGGTTGTAATAGTTCTTAAGGAAAGTAATGTCAACCCAATCATATAATATGACTCCCAATCTCAATAACTGAAGAAGAGAGATTGTTTTCATTGACCTCCCATCTTCTGGCCTGATAAATATTTCACATTTCTAAGTTAAATTTGGTAAAAGATCAGAGTTTGAACAATTATAGAATGAGGCAACTTTACTCACCGCATTCCATCAAAATATGTTCTGGTGGTTCCATTAAGGGCTCCAGATAAGGCAGTAAGACTTAGCACCCAATCCTCAGAAGTGTTCCCATAGCCTTCAAATGCCTAAATAAAATAAACAATAGCAGATTTGATTAGATCACTTTTGTTAACTGATAGCATAATAGCTTTTTAATCTCCATTACCTTATAAGCTAGCATTTGCTGCAAAACCCTAACAACCTGAGCTCCAGCAGAATGGCCAACAAAATGGACTGGATGATGCTCATCCCAATCAGGATAATTTCCTGCTCCAACCAAAACCAGAATGCATCGATCACAAATTTATAATCACGTCAGATGAAGGCTCTAATAAGCCACAAAAATAACATAAAATGAAATAACATGAGGTTCCCACCGTCAAAGAAATATCCAATCACATACAAGAAATTAAAAAACAAAAAGAATAATAATAATTTGTGCAGTCACCTTGTTCATAGTCCTTCCCAAATCGAGAATGCCCATAAATCCTGCTATGCTCCTCTCCATAATCCACCACCCCACCCTTCAAGTAGTAAAACAACTCGCGTGCCCTAACACCATTAATCCCCAAAAAAACATTTTTCATATCGGATACAAATCAAGATCTACGAAGAAGCAATTCGAATTTCGTATCCTACACACCTGTCATGAATGCTAGTCAAAGATCCCAAAGCAGTAAAAAATTTGCCCCAAGCAAAACCTTAATGACAAAAAAATTATATATGTGATAATGATTACATGAATATTGTTTCTATTATATTGCATTGATTTTATTGGTAGGTTCTGATGACTATTGAGGTGGTAGCTAACAACGTGATTTTACATATTTTTCAAGAAGACGACATGATCTAGTATAGTGAGACAGATTAAGATTCAAATTTTATTATTTTTGTATTTTATTTTATTCTTTTATAGTCAAGGGCTGAAAGAGATTGATTTATGTATTAACTTAACTCCTAACTAGTGTATATGAATTTTGATGAATGAATATAGTTTTATATTTTGATGTATATGATTATTAGTTGCTTCCGCTAGATTGATTTATACTAATGGACTATTTGTAGCTTTGATAGATTAATTAAGGGATTATTAAAATAGACAATTTCTTAAAATTTGATCTTAGGGCATCACAACAAATTCTTATGATTGATGAAGAGTTTTATTCATACTATAATAAATAATGTCATAGTATCTTTAGTTTAAATAATAAGGCTAAAAAATTTAAATGCCTTGAGGTATATACTATCACTTTTCGTTCTTGCACATCCCAGTTCTTCAAGAGAGGTATCATTATAGGCCTAGATTTATATGTTCTTGCAAAAAAAGTAAGAATTGGTGCAATTACATAACACCCCTTTAATATTTGGAAGATCTTCTTGGATACATAAGCCTAGTCAAATTTATCACTTTTCTTCATCATTCTAATCAAAACAATAATTCCTAAGAAAATGGTTGGTGAAAACATTTATAGTACCTTGCTTGTCTAGAGAAATGTTAACTTAGAAGGTCTTGGATAGTTAGCAATGACAATTAAGTTTTTGGGATCTACTAATATTCTTATGAAGCTAATTGTAACACTTCTAAACTAAAATCTACATAAAAATAGCATTAACATATAATTTCATGTGAAGGAGAATGCAAGAAGGCTAAACTGTTAGTGAGAGAAAATCTGGGAATTAAAAAAATATTCCGTTGTTTTTCAAATTTGTCATCTCCCGTAGTTTTCGCGGCTAGGTTGGCGGTTCGTTCTCCGCTGACTCTCCGGCGGGATTAGATGACGGCGATGGAGGGGAAGCCTCTATGATCGTCTGATGCCTGGGCGAATATTCGTAGAAGTCTCAACGCTTCGGTGCGAGCTTCTTCAGAAGTTTTCAATGGAGGACAGAGGACTGGTTCAATTTTCAATAGCCATTTCAAGGAAAAGCCGCTGCTGATCAAAGGTGGATTGTTGAAAAACAAACCGATTCTGATGGTGACTGGTAAAGGAAAGGAGGTTGTCAAGGAAGACGAATTTCTCAGCTTGAAGAAGTTTAAAACAGCAACTGGATTTAAGGAAATGATGGAGAATTTAAAAGGGGAATCTTCCACGTCGGCTGGAAAGATTAATTTCAAAACTACATCTCTCCCAACCTCTCCAATTTCGTGTAATATTGTTGAATCATCCCCTGATGAAATCATTAAAGCAAATGAGAACAAGGTGAATGAAGAATTTCTGATGTTGGCTGATAAACAGGGAAAGTGTGATGAAGGTGTAAACATTTCGAAAGAGGATAGTAACAAGAAGGAAATAAATTCTGTTTGGTCGAAGAAACAAAACATAAGGGTGGATAAATTAGATCTGGGATCATTCCTATCTGATGATGGAAGAACAGTCCAGCTTGACGCAGAAAATGAAAGTATCAATGCTAAAAAACTGGATTGTGCTCTGGTGGTGAAAATATTTGGTGACAACATACTGTTTTCTTCAGTATGTATTGAATTGAGAAAGCAATGGAGCAGATTTGGGAAGTTTCATATAACGGGTTTAGGCACTGGATGGGTGCTTTGCTCGTTCAAAAATCCAGAAACAATGGAAGAAGTTATTACAGGTGGTCCTTGGTATGTTAAAGGGCATGTGGTGGGGTTGGACAAATGGTCTCCCATGTTCTCTACAAATTCTTTGAAAGGGATTTCAACTCCCTTATGGATAAGATTACCTAATTTATCTTTGCAATGTTGGGATGATATCAACATTTGTAGGATTGCATCGAAGGTGGGAAAGCCATACTTGCTTGATGGAAACTCGTTTCAATGGAGTAGAAGAGAATACGCTAGAGTTTGCGTTCGTGTGCCCCTGAATGAGAAATTACCCCTTGGGGTTTGGGTGGAAGGTTTATATGGAAAATTTTTCCAGAAAATCATTTATGAAGGCATTTCAAAGTTATGTTATGAATGTGCCTTCATTGGTCACACCATAACAGCATGTATGAAATTTAAAGAAAAGAAGACTTCTTCCACTGATGTTCCAGTTTTGGATAAAAAATTTCAAGATCAAGTTAGCTCCAGAATTGAAGAAAGCTCAATTCAGCAAGAAGGCGAAAATAAATATGGACTGTGGATTCAAGCAAAGTATGGTAAGAAGAAGTTTTCTGGAAATATTAGAAGAATGTCAGGAACTCCTATTAAACAAAGGGTTCTTTCAAAAAAAGTTTTGTTCAAAAAAAAAAAAAAAAAAAAAAAAAAAAAAAAAAAAAAAACAGATTTCTTCAGTAAATGAACAAGCTCTACAGTTACAAAATGATGTTTTGAAGAATCCTCAGAATAATTTTACTCCTGTAGAAGAAGTTTGTGTTCATCATGTAGAGGCATTGGATTCTGCAAATATTGTTGAAGATCAAACTAAAAAAGCTCAGGTCCCTATTCTAAACAAATTTGACATTCTATCTAAAATGGAAGATAATTTGATAAATGAGCATGGGGAGGAGAAAGTTGATAATGAAGTTGAAGAAGGAGAAATATTATCTGATATGCATACTGATGCTTCATAAAATGCTATTATAAAGATTCAAGAGCAGAAGATGGGAGCTGAAGTGCTAAAACTGGAGAAAATCGTGGAGAAATCTTCTTCAGGTAAGAAAGTAAAGCTGCTAAAAGAACTGAAATCTCTGGGATCTGGAAATATAGTTAATCATAACATGAAGTTGGAGATTGGAAGAAGTAAAAAGGGTGGGGGGCCTTCCCCTCTTTCTAAACAATGACTTCTCTAGCTTTTTGGAACTGTAGAGGGGCCAAAAAGAGAGAGGCCGCTCTATATCTCAAGGAGGTTGTTAGAGAAAATGATGTTTTTTTTTTGTGGGACTAGTTGAAACCAAAGTTAGTTCTTTGGAGAATCTACAGATTTTGAATTTTCTGGGAGACAAATGTGAATCATTTTTGTTTCCTTCTGTTGTCCTTTCTGGAGGTATTTTGGTACTTTGGAGGAAGGATGTGGCAGCTTTTTCAGTATTGGAAGTTTCTTCACAAGTTATCATTGGGGATCTTGAAGTTGTTAATAAAGGCTGTTGGCAAGTTTCCATTGTATGTGGGAGCTGGAGTATAGTGGAAAGAAAATCTCTATGGGAGATTTTAGAAACAAGGTTTGATAATAATAAACCAGCAGTTATTGGGGGAAACTTTAACTATATCTTGTCACAGGAGGAGAAAAGAGGAGGCAAAAAATTTGTATTTACTCAAGGAGCAAAAGATATGAAGATGTTTATGAACAACAATGACTTTCATGAAATTGGGTTTATTGGACCCAAATTTACTTGGTGTAACAACAAAACTGGGGGAGGACGTATCTTAGAAAGATTGGATAGATGCCTTATTAACATTTTTGCTATGAATTCTATTCATCTAGCCTTGGTTAAACATTTGTCCCGTATAGCTTTGGATCATTGTCCTATTTTTTTGGAGGTGTTCAAATCGGTGGTTTCTAACTACAAATGTATACATTTTGAAGATGTGTGGAGCACCTATCATGGGGCTTTTGCTATTGTAAAAAATACATGGAAGATGGGTGGAGGGAGCGATCCAGCTAGTTCTTTAAACTTGAAGTTTAAAAGGACTCTTAAAGCCTTATTCTATTGGAGTACGGCTAAATTTAAGAGTTTAAATGTATTGAGGGATTCACTGAAAAAAGAGATTTATGATTTACAACTAGAAGAAGCTGATGGGATGCTTAGCGAGACAAAGCTCCTACTGCTCAGGTCAAAGGTAAATGAATTAAATAGTACTTTGGCAAGATTATGTATATGGTGGAGGCAAAGAGCCAAGGCTAGATGGTTGGAAGAAGGTGATACAGATTCAGCTTTCTTTCATTCTTTTGCAAATGCAAGAAGGAGTACTAACTGGATTAATCAAGTCAAAAATGAAGACGGTATTTTCACGGATCAGATCCAAGAAATTGAAATGATTTTTTCAAATTTCTTCACAGCCAAATGGAGACATAGAACCTGTAAGGTAGATGGTTGGCCGTCAAAAATGAAGACGGTTTTGGATAAAGAAGATCAACTCAAATTAGAAGCAGAGTTTTTAAAGGAGGAGCTTCAAGAAGTGGTGAACAACTTGGGGAAGAACATCTCACCGGGACTTGATAGAATTACATTCTCTTTTATCAAATGCTACTGGAAGGTAATTCAATTCGATGTTTGGAATGCTATTGATTTGTTTTTTAAAATAGGATTTATGCATCAAAACTGGAAGGAGACATTGATTGTGTTAATTCCTAAAGTGCAAAATCCAGTTTGTCCAGAAAACTTCCGTCCAATAAGCCTTTGCATGACTACTTATAAATTAGTAGCAAAAATGTTGTTGAATAGAATGGAGATGGTTATACACAAGGTTATTTCAAATGACCAAGTGGCTTTCTTAAAAGGGAGATCATTGACCGATCATGTTCTTTTGGCTCAAGAGGTATTCAACAAAATTCGACATTCAAAAGCTAAGAAAGGATTTTTGGCAATCAAAGTTGACATGGAACAAGCTTATGATAGCATGGGATGGCAAACTTTGAGGCAAGTTCTTCTTCATTTTAATTTCCCTAGCAAATTTTTGAATTTGATTATGAATTGTATTTTATATCCAAAATTTTCCTTATTGATTAATGGGAACAAATCAAATTGGATTGAAGCTAAAAGTGGGTTTAGACAAGGATGTCCTTTATCCCCATTTCTTTTTATATTGTGTTCCCAAATGTTATCGGATGCTTTATCAAAGTGGAAAGGAGATGGATATTCAAATCGTTCCTAAAGCACCAAGAGTGTCTCATTTGCTCTATGCGGATGATATACTAATATTTTCTGAAGCTAACTTGAAAAAGATCAAGAAAATTAAAAAGACTTTGAACAACTATTGCAAATGGACAGGGCAAAGGGTTAATATCAAGAAATCTATGATGGCGTTCAGCAAAACAGTGAACCAAAGGAGGAAGAAATAAATTTAATATGTGTTGACTAAAAAAAAAATCGAAGCAGCATACCTGTATCTAAATTCGGCCCCACCTCATACAATTCTCTCCCAAACAAAGCAACTATTAGTTCCAAAATAAGATAACCGCACAATGCATCCTTCAA